CCATGTCATCTTCATCATCAACATGACTCACTTTTCTCTTCCCTGTTCATTAAAAGAAAAGATCATTAGCATATTAATGGATGAACCACTCATATCAGGCAGACTGGCAGAACATATACCTTTACTTGCATAGCTAGTAGAGTGTGTGTGTGGTACTAGTGGATGGACCCGTTTGATCTGCTTCGCCCTCAATACATCCACATTTAGATCTTCTACCTGTAAGTCTGATAATGACAAATCTGCCTCATCATCTATGAATCACTCATTATCAGACGACACATATCACACACCAATGGGTCCTCATATCTTTCAACCCCTTATTCCTCAACCTCCTATCTCTTAACCTCTTGTTGTCATTATGTATACGAGGGAGTTCATTCTGAGTGTAGATAATCGATTCTTCTCTTTGTTTGCACTTGACTATATGTACTCCCAATTTCGCTCACACCATAAGAAGAACAAGTGAGGCCCAACACTCTCTGCTTCTCCTCTATCTGCTCCTGCCATAGTCAGTCGTACTGCTCCATAGGACCCGTGCACCTCTATTATGATAGTTGGAGGAAGAGCCCTTTCCACTCTCGCTCCAAAATAGGCACCTTGGTCGACCTTTCATCAAATTGCTGCTGTTGTAAGTGTTTGACAGGGTAGTTTTCTTCATGTAAGCACTAATTTCTTCCTTCACATTGCCCGGCACTTTGCACAAGGTGCTTACGTTCTTGTGAGAGCATGATAAGTGCTCCTTCATGCGGGTTACTCCGCCTTCACACACTTTCTCACAAAAGTTGCACTTTAAATAGACATAGCTTTTCTCTCCGCCGCCAATGTCAACTTGTACACTATACTTCAAGAAGGGTCCCTCCGCAATGACGTATTCGTCTTTTATTTACCTCTAACCATGTCTCCTAAAGCAATAAATCAAATACACAAAAAAAATCAAAAAACTAAAACCAATTTCTCTTAAACTCTGCAAATATATTCTAAACTTAATAAAAATAACCTAAAATCAATGTGGAGTACTCCTAGAGGGGCCGAAGTTTCACTTCGCCGGAGAGGGCGGGCCGGGGAGGAGCGGCGGGAAGCAGGCCGACCAGTGCGGGAGGGCTTCGTTTTCGCGAACAGGGAGCTGGAAGCGGGTTTTTTTCGGAAATGAAGGGGGCTGTGCGGGTTAAGGGAGGAGAGGGCTTATTTAAGTGGGTGGGACCTAGCGTGTGAGGCGTACGCCTCTCCAGAATTGCGCAATTGCGCCTCTGAGGCGCGCCTCAGTCCAGTGAGGCGTACGCTCATCCAGGTCCAGAATTGCGTAAGCCTCGAGGCGTTTTTGGTTGAATTGCGCAAAGGCGCGCCTTGAGGCGCGCCTCTAATTGCGCAATTTTAAACCATGAATAATATATATATAATATATCTATATATATATATATTATATATATTATAAATTAAAATTTTGCATAAGATGTAAATGATAAGTGATAAATTGTGTGAAATAGAATTGATAGCCAAATATTACAAGAGTAAAATCATATTAAATATAAAAATTGCATAAAATTATCATATAACATCAAGTTTAACTCCAAATTTTTTCTCAGTTCCTACTCATCCACATTTTAATTTCTAAAGAAAGTTGAAATAGTTGGCAATAACTTAAAATCATTTGCACTGGCATCATTGAGGGGGTCTTTATTTAAGTTATTTCATAATAAATTGGTCTCTCCCCTGTCTCATATATGTGGAGTTCAATGCTTCTTAATCTGTCCTTCTTCATTATTTTACTCAAATTCCTCTTTCATAAATTCTTTTCATCAACATAAAGATGAGATTAATATTTTTCAAAGGAAGAGGGGCAATTGGTGGTGTGTAACTATTATGTGATCCACAATAGTGGCTGCGAAAGCAGTGGCTGCATCAAAGGCAGCAGACTTGAGGTTAAGGCAGTTGAAAGGAAGTTGTTACGGCTTATGGGTATATGAAAAAGTGATTTATTCTGGGCTTTAGTAAAATTCATATAGTTAATATATATTATATGTATATATAAATATATATATATATTATAATATATAATTATATATAAAATATATAATATGTATATATATACTATATATATGTATATAATATACATATATATTATATATACATATATATATGTATATAGATATATACATATATATATGTATATATATACTATATATATGTATATACATAATATACAATATATAGTGTATATATGTATATACATATATATGTATATACATTAAATAAGGTATATATATATATACGTATATGTATATATATCTATATACATATACATATATATCTATATACATATATATATACATACATACATATGAAGCATAAGCCTCATGCCAGTGAGGCCAAACACGCCTCAAGGCTGGCCTCGCCCTAGTTGAGGCACAAGTCTCATAGAAAAAATTTGAGGCGTTTTTCTTTGGAAATGCGTTGAGGTGGGCCTTAAGCTTAGCCTCATATTACACAATTCTAAACAGTGGGAGAGACCAAAGAGTTTTGTTTACATTAGTATTTTTTCAATTACTAAGATTAAGTTACTATCTTTTTCAATTGATTTTTCAAAGGGAACTCAAAGTGAGATGCATTAATGCCTGTTTTTCATAGATAACAAAGTTATAATCAATAAGACATCTACTAAAAATATGAGACAGGTTGGAAAAATGGAAAAAATAAGTGTATAGTATATAAAGGGCTTAGGATTAATAGAACAAATGTCGAGCACATGACATGCAATTTATTAGGCTTGCATGTGTGATATTAATTTTTATGAATCAATATTACCAGAATATAAAGTACTATCTATAAGTGATATAGTTGAGTATCTTGGAGTTGGCACCTCTTTCAGAGCAGGACTCGTTGCCTTAAGGACAATGCTCACCACCAAAAGTGCCTGGCAAGCTCTTTACAATGCCGACACTCATAGGGAAGGCTCGCAGTAAGTAGCACATCATTGAAGATTGACAAGTGGATGAACCTCTCTTGGATATTTTCAACCAACACCGCCTTACAACGTACAACCTTCACCGCTTCCTTTGGCACAACCACTATAAGCTTATTCGGCTCCACGCCAACAATCCCGCTCTCCTCAATGGTCATTGACTTTTTCTTACTTGAAGGAACGCTATAGTTCTCACTGCCTCCCACTGACTTGCATTTATTAAGGAATTTTCTTACCTTCTTGTTGGTCATGTTGGCATACTTAAAAGGACTTAGATCAACCATCTCAAACTAATTGCAAACACTTGGGGCTAAATGAAATGAGTGCAGCAACATCACACCCTAGTTGCTATTGATAGTAGGTCAAATCAATATCATAATGAGAATATCAAGGGAGGCACATAGATTGAGGCAACAATATGTTACGCCGGTCCAGCTTGGACCGGCTCAACCTGGACCGGCCCAGCCGGTCCAGTTCTACAGGAGGCGGACACCAAGCCAGACGGAAGAGAGAGGGAGCCAGGGAGTGGGGTCCACTTGCAATTCAAACATGGATTAAGTGTTTTTGGAGGGAGATAGGAATCACTTGAAATACTCAAGTGGTACCTATCACAATAATAATAGGGTAGTAATCCTTACTCTCTATTCTATTGTTTAGTATTGATAATAACTAATTCTCGCCTTAAATTCACTTATCATTTTCGTAACTCACCATTCAAATGAGCAAGTGAATCAGAAAACAAAATGTATACTCATATATGCCCATGTTCGTAACCCACAAGTATCTAAACAGATTCTTTTCAAGGAACTCTGTCAAGGGGAGCATGCGGTCAAAGCAGTACTTCCCTAAAATACGCATGGCTCCGCAGAGCAGTTGCTAGTATCAACCTATGAGCAAATGACCACTCCACCCCTACAAAGATCACAACATGTAGACTTTCCTTAGAAGATTAAACCATGAGTGTAATCATTGTTGACAAGCTACTCCAAAGTATTTTCCCAAATCTATGCTCGCCCTAATAGTAACTCACTTAAACAAAACTTGCTTTCCCGTAACAACTATTCGTTATCAAGGCAACACGCCTATCACAGACATCCCTAATCAAGATACATGAAGCGCACACCTCAAAAACATCCATGACCATGACTTTACTAACTAAACTTGTCGCTAACTCCTAGTAACTTCCAACCAAGGTGACTCATCTCTCATTCTTAAGGACTCACCACTCATTTTGAGGAGCTTTCCATAACAAACTCGCCCTATATGTTGGATCTCGAATGCCCAGGGCACTCAACCTCAAGGACTCGTCCAATATACTCGCTTAAGCAAAGGGGGTCATTTCAGAAATAGAGAACCACATATATATCATCAAACTAGTCCATATCTTTGTGTCAGTTTGTATGGGTCATATTATGTACAATTATTTATTTATTTATTATATGTGTAATTTTTCCTATAGTTCTCTTAACCCTATGAATATAAGCCGAGAGACATATTTTGGACTTCAAGCTGCTAGGAGTATTACAAAGGCATTATAGCTTTCTACTCAATCACCATAACTTTCCTCACTTGATTCACTAGCTCTAAATAGCCAAGGATCTATTAGAAAAGTTAAGTACCATCCATGAACAAATTTGGATCCAACACATGCCATTAATTCCACTGCATCCATAGCATAGAATCTCCCAAACAGCTTCTTACCACTAAATAAATTGATTAAAAAAAGCAGTTCAAACCTTGCTAACGTCTATAAAAAGCAGTTCAAACCTTGCTAACGTCTTTAAAAAAAAAAGTATGATCAGAATCGATCAAAGTTAAACACACGGGCAAAGTCCATGATTCAAATTGATCCAAATAGCAACAATTACAACTAAATAATACAGTACTACTCATTAAGCCAAAATTCACAGATGGCCGATCTACAGATATAAATGCCAATTAATTCAAGCAATACCTATCGAAAATAGCATCCTAAATGAAAATTAATAAGAATTGAAAACAGAAATATGTATAAGAAGATGGCCAAGTCATCCCATCTCACCTCCCATTTAGCGAAGGAGGCCGGGGTTGAATGAAAAGAAGCGAAACTGCAAAGTGAGACTAGGGAACTGCTCAACCTGGTTACTTTCTTCAAAGAAGGTACTTGCATTTCGGAAAGGGAAAATCGCAACCTGAAATGTTTGCATGAAAATAATAGAGCATCAGGTAGAAGGAGCTAGAAATGTTCTCTCTGTTCTCTTTCCTCCATGACGTTCGTCCTATGCCGATGAAAAAATGACGGTCCTTTAACTTTGGTGTCGCCGGCTGTGTCTCTACGACTGGAGATGATGGCGTGAGTGGTTAATGGGGTCGATATGCCACAATGGCGAGCAGGAACTTAGGACTCCGCTCCGTTTGTTTGCAGTTTACAGCATTAGGGTTTTTAATTTTAGGCAGAATTGAGAAATTATTAAGTGTGGATATAAAATGGAGAGAATTTTTTACAGTGCTTTTGAAAAAAATAGTAAAAGAATAATAAATATTTAATTATAAAATATTATTATTATTCTTTTTGCTGTGTTTTTTAGTAAAAACTCAATATAAGCGTAGCATATATTCAATTATTTAATAAATATTAAATATTTATTATCATTTTACTATCCTTTTGCGAAATCACAATAAAAGTGTAGTAAAAGAACAGCAAATTCGGACGGTTCTCTACGTCTGATGTTCGCACAGAATAATAAGTCCAGGTGGAGAGTCTAATTGTAGTGTTTATAGTTGTGTTAAAATTTAATATATCTAAAACGATGAATAATCAAATTTAATTTATGCCAATTGGTATCATATTTTTTGAGCTTTAAATGACTAGTTCATATAAAATAATAAAGAACATTTTGCTAAAACATTTATATTAGGTTGTTCATTATTATTATTACAACGATGTTTAATTGAGCTACGTATCAAATATTAATTGAGTTTCTTAACAAATTTGTTCACGAGTTTTGTTTCAGATATGAATCGAGCTTCTTAATGAGTTTCATATCGAGGTTGTTCAAAAGCTTTAAATGATATTGTCATGGACATAAACGAATCGAAGAAATGAACATAAAATGATCATGAACTAGCTATAATGGAATGTGCAATCTAGTTGAGTCACAAGTAGCCTTTTGAATGAACAATTCTTGCCCATACCTACTCGATTGATTAAACAAGCGTAGATTAATAAATTAGATTTTGTTTGGGACATCTTTCTTACTACTTTCTAAAATGATTTTTTAGTACAAAATTTTTTGTAGTAGAAAATAATTTTAGAAAGTGACAAAAAAATTGTCCTAAACGAATGCCTTAGTTAGCAGATCTACACCAGCTTATGATAGCATAAGTTGAATGTCATCTTTTTTTAACTCTTTGCATAAATTGCAATATATTTGATATATCATCAAAAAATTACCTTGATAAGGCATGAATCTCGAGGCAAAATCAGGTTGGGAGCTTCAAAAATTAAAATTGGGATCATCTGAACTCAGATTTCAGCAAACTTATAGTCGAACTGAGCGTCCCAAAAATACAAACCCAACGATACCAAATTCAACTCAATCCGAGCACAAATGGGTCCAAATAAAAAACCCGAAGCACTGTTGGAAGATTCAAACCATAATTTGAATTACCAAACGGTTTTCAAACATGACATGCTTATAGTCAAATCGAGCGGCTCGACGAGATGAATCCAACGAGCCCAAGATCGTTGAATTCCAATATCATTAAGACCTTCAAATGTCTGACGAACGGTCCAAGATCAAGGGATTCAATATCGGTCGTCCATCCAAACTACTCCCCATTTGCCCTTAATCCTCCTCTTATTTACTTGCCATGCTATCATCAGAAAACTATAAATAGTCTCTCATTTCTTTTAAGAGGGGACCCAAGCAAGAAAATAATAGAAGAAGAGAAGAAAAGAAGAGAAGAAGATAAGAGGCAAAGGCTAGTAGCACTCTAATGGCTTCCAATCTAGTTACAGGGAAAAAGGTCTCCTCAAAATCAATCTCTTATATTTGGTTGTACCCCTTAGTCACCAATATTGTCTTATTCTTAAACACCACACTAGAATTATTCATTTTATTCTTAAAGACCCATTTGATTCTTAATCACTTTGATTCTTAGGTCTTTCTACTAACTCCCAGATATCATTCCTCACAAATTGATTAAGTTCTTCATGAATAGCTAAGATCTAGAATTCATTAGAAAGGGCTTGATTGATGTTGGTGGGTTCAGTCATTGAGATAAAGGCAGAGTGGTTTACTTCATTCCTAAGTTCATGCCTAGTTCTAATACCTTCAAAAGGGTCTACTAAGATCAATTCTTTAGGATGACTCGAAGAATATCTCCAATCTCTAGGTAAAGTGTTGAGGTTATACCCTTTTCTACAGATTTATAGGTTATATTCTTTGGGTAATCTCACCTACTGCATCAGTATTTTATCCTTCCTAAACTTGAGTTTCTCCTCACCATTCTCTTTGCTTAGGTGAGCCTTAAGTGTAAGACAATCAGCTTTGACATGTCCTAGCTTACTGCATTCAAAGCAAACCATATCAGAAGAATCTTTAAAATTCTTGCTACTCTTAAATTTGTTCCATTTCTTATGATGCTTTTGCTTCTTCATTAAAAAGTTTTTGAATTGCCTAATGATTAAGGCAACATCATCACTTTTAAACTCAGAAGAATTAGTATCCGTATTATTAGCTTTCAATGTCACAATTTTCTCCTTTCTTTTTTTCACCTACATCAAGTTATATTTGGTTCACTCCTTGCATGTAAGCAATGAGTGGTCCAAGTAAGTTATCAATAGAATAAGTATTCAAACCCTTGAATTCAGTGATAACAGTTATCTTAGCATCATAAGAAGAGAGTAAACATCTCAAGATTTTATTAACTTTCTTATAATTAGTGAGTTCTCTTCCTAAGGCATGTAGGGAGGTGACAATTTATGAAAACCTAGTATGTATTTTTAGATATTGACTCAGTAGGTTTCATGTGAAAGAGTTCATAGCCATGAAGCAATATATTCAATCTAAATTGCTTAACCTCAGTTATGTCTTCATAAGTGATACATAATTTATCGCAAATTTTTTTTACCAATTTTATAAGTTGAAACACACATGTAATCTTCAAATTTCAATGCATAGAAAAAATAGTTTAAATATTTTGCATTAAGTTGTGTTAAATCCCTATCATCAAGAGTCCATTCAGTAAATAGGAGTTCAGTTTTGATGTCATTAACTTCACGTGATGGTGCATAATAACCTTCTTTAACAAGCATCTACATGAAATAATCTTTATAATGTAAAAATGTGGACATACGAGTTTTCTAGAAATCAAAAAGTATATTATCAAACACTAGTGGTCGGGTAATCGAATACCCTTCCGCAGTATTACAGTTATCAAAGTTAGCCATGGATCAAAATTTAAAAGTTATTTAAAACTTGATTTTATGAATCTCGCTCTAATACTACTTAAAAGTTCGTTAGAGTTGTTAAGCCTTTATGAACTTGCTTGAGGCTGACCAAGAGGGGGGGGGGGTGAATTGGTAGTTTTAAAAAACCTTAAATAAAAAGTATGATCTTTTTGAGATATTTTAAAACATTAAATCATACAATCACCCACAAGAAAATAAAGTGCAAAAATTAAAATGAGTAAGCGTAATAAGAAAGAGCAAATCAAATTTTATAATAGTTCGGTTAACTTGATATACATCCACTCCTCGAAGCCTCTCCTCCGGGTATTGCACTAAAACACATTGATTCTCCTTTTGCCCTCACAATAAGGTGGAGAAGCATTTACAAACTCCTTTCCACCGACCGCGTTGAGGCAAATAACCCGACTCCTTTCGCTTCATCCTGAAGTAGGCAGATAACCCATACTCCTTTTGCTTCATCCCGAAGCAGACAGATAACCTTGATCGATTGTTGAAGAAGACCTGCCTAGAGCCTTCAAGAAACCAGGAACGACGACTGGAGAAGATGACTCAGATCCTTGCTTAGAGTAACCTCTCACAAAGTCCCCCTTACAATATCCTCTCTCTCTCCCAAGCTCTCACTCTCCTTCTCTTGGCTCTCTCAAGTCAGAACATCAACAAAAGATCACTACTTGAATAATCAAGAGATCTTATAAATAAGGGTTTAAAATTTGCCCTAATTTGCAACTTGATGTCAAAGATCATTAAATCGTCCTATACGATCAGTGTATTTTCAGCCAATTCGGCCAGGACGATCTAGGAGGGCTAGAGATTAGAAGCCTTATTTGTTTTGATCGTCTAGGACGATGTGGAAATCGTCCAGGATGATGTGAACAATGATGTGAACATCGTCCTGTATGATTAGTTCAAAATCATATATTTCATCCACAACATCATTTTGGTTGTCCAGAAGATACATGTTGGACGATGAAGAAACATAATGTATCGTCCAGGACAATTCTTTAATCGTTCTTTACGATTAGTTCGCCTATGTGAAATGGTGTAGGCAACCAAATTGTTGACTATATTTTTTATAAAAAATATAAAAGATATAGTATTTATTTATTTTAAAAGTATTGGCCTACAAAGAGATCGATCATGTAGTTGATTTATTATAAAATTATTGTCATATGATTGATTTTAAATTAAATAAATCATTATTAACTTTAAAAAATAGTTAAGAGTTTTCAAAAGAGCCTATTAAGATGGGCAATAATAAAGACAATAGTGCATTATTAATAAAGGAAAAAAATCAATCGTAAGCAAATAGTCTTCAAATAAATATGATGAATAAAAGTGCAATAAAATATTAGATGCAGTTGGGTTCAATAATACACCTAAAAAATGTAGTATAGTTTAAAACTATACATAAATATAAAATAAATAGAAAACATAAAAAAATAAGGTGCAAAGGCCTATCTTTTTGCTCATGGTCTTTGTATTCTTTTTTTTTTTTGGGAAAATTGGGGTCATAGCCCATTTCATTAAATCAAAAGAAAGAATACATAAAAAGAATTGACTGCTACCAGTAGCAATCAACAAAAACCTATCGCTTAAAAAGAAGACTGCTTAAGAAAATAAAAATCTATTACAATCTATCAGCCTTAGCTGCTGAAACAAGTGCAAAAAGCTGTTCACTAGTGCTAGTAAACCAAAATAGAGGGCCCAAGTAGTCAGAACTGGCTGAGCTCCCTGTAAAACGAATCCCACCAAAAAATTGCTCCCAAGCCTATCGGCACCTGGGCTCAGATAATATAAAACGAGGCACTAATGATTGTTGAAATCCCTGGTTGCCCAAAGGCCCTCCAAGGGATCCAACCCGGGAGAATCATCATTGTCCAGGTAAGGCTCCAAAATATGGTCGCAGTGCTCAGTCGAAGAAAGAAGGAGAGCCAGCAAATAAGTAGTCCACCTTTTCACAGCAAATCCAAAAG